AGAATATTTCAGGTCGATAGAACACAACTAATTATTCAAGGCACCAACTTTTCAGAATAATCCTGAGTTGCGTTTTCCAGAAACGTCTAATATGTACCATCCACCGTGAATCAGCCTGTATATTGGATTGGTCATCTTGAATTTTCCAAGTTTGACGAAACAATCATTATCTCCAACCCCGGAAAACCCCAGATATCTTCCAATTTTGAATAGAATCGGATCATAATTACAAAACTCGTTCGCCATATGATTTTCAACAAGTAAACACCCTGTACATACCTATTATTGAAATTTTGAATGATTTTCTGTAGCGCCCATGGATGTGACGTGACAGCAATGTCAGTTATGCCAGTAGACGAAACTAAAGTCTCTAGATCATCAAAAAAGAATGCAGCTATTATCTGTCCGTACCCTGTTAAGATGACTTCAACGTCAATTTTCATCAAGGGACCCTACCCCTTCCTGTAGACTGACGTATACAAAATTGTAGAAATTGAGGACCGTAGGTACTTGTCGTAAAAGAGGTCAGTTTCTAATTTTCAAATTCCACTGTTCCTACTGAATAATTTGTTAATTCACCTATAGGGTATCATCGAAAACAATGAGATAAATTGTGATGGAGTACGCCAATTTTTTGTTTCATCGCTTGGAGTGCACGAAAGGGAATCCCTATAATGTTCAAAGAACATCGTGCGTTCCTTGGGAGGATAGAGATAGGAGGTAGGTATTGGAATGTTTTTTGAACTTCTGGAGATTATATGTTGTTGGAAATACTTCCTCAGGCAATGAATTCCAGAGCCTAGCCGTTCTATGAATGAAAGAGTTTTGATAAAGTGCTGATCGACATCTTTCGAGGTTGACAACGAAAGGATGTGCTTGTCTAGTTCGTCTGACTGGTATTGCTAGTGAAGGTATGATAGCAGAGATTTCTGAAGAACATTTCCCGTGGAAGTATCGGTAGAAAAATGAAAGGTCGTCGCCGACCTTTCTACGGTGTTCCAATGATGTCAAAGAGTGAGTGAGTGTGGCGTCACCCACCAGGCGGATGGCTCTTCTCTGGATGGAATCTAAGAGCATCAGCGTATGTTTTGGTGCTGAACCCCATATGTGGGAACAGTATTCTAGAACAGGCCGTATCTGTATAGGGAAACATTTCACGAAATTAATTGAAAAAATATTTGATGTACTTTTTGTTACATTTTAGTTTTTCTTTTTGCCTCCATCAGGAATTTTCGGCAGTAAGATAAGTACAGTTAAATTGTTATCAGTACCGATATCTTGTACCAACTGATGCATCAAAATGGATCATTCATTACAAGCAAGAATATAAATTATATTTATTTATGGAGCTGAAAATCGCTGTGCAAGAAAAACGTCTAGAGTTTTTATCGGAAGACATCAGGACAAGAATATTAGTCACCAATCCATGGCTCTAGTGAGATAATTTGAAGAAACAGGACCCATTTTCAATAAAGAAAACTATCTAACCTAGAGTTCTTGATGAAGCTGCTCAGATCGAAGTGTTAGGCCACTTTGCTATGGATTCGATAAACTCTATCCCCAAGATGTCGAAAACTACTAATATTCTGGTTGGTTCCATACATAAAGTGCCGAAACTCAATAAATTCTTCCCATAGAAGACAATTTAAATGGAGAGGCAAATCGATGATCATGAAAATATGTTGCTGGACGAAAATAACCTGTTCTTTCAGCAGGATGGAGCTCCACCACATTTTTTCCAGAGGTGAGAAAATGGTTGAATTAACAATTTCCTAAGCAGTGGATTGACAGAAGAGGTGCCATAGTATGGCCAGCAAGATCTCCAGATTTGACACCTTTTGACGAAAACAATGGTTTATAAGACTCTATCAGAAGATATTGATGAACTCAAACGAAGAATCATATCAGAATGCAGACAAATCAATCGTGAAACGTTCCAAAAAGTTCGTGAAGCTGTTGGAAAGTAGTGGCAAAAATATTTTATTGCTCAATCCTATAAATCTTCCTGTTTATCATTGTAGAAGAGGACAAAAACTCCAGATGACCATTCGGTATTCCCCTCAGGGGTTTCTGTTCGTGTGTTAGGAGTATGGACAGTTCCTCATGACTCACCCTGTGTACGAAATGAATATTTTTTCTCCTGGTTGATTTGATCGTTCATAGACCTTCAATTTTATGTATCTCAAAGAAGGGGGTGCCATTTGAGATTTCAAAGTCGGGGTGTCTGGGGGAGAAGGAAATTTACATCAATTAACTGAAATTAAAATATACATGTATATATATGGAACATTGAATGGAATTATACAGGGTGATTCAAAATTCGATGTAAATATTTCAAGGGCGTATTGTTGGGATCAAAATAAGACTTTTTCTTCAAATCAACATGTGTCCTAAAATGCACCCCCTCCGAGCTACAGCCCCTGTAAGTTGGAAAAAAAAACAAGATTATCTAAAACTGTGACTATAATAACGAATCGAATCTTCTGAAAATTGGCATACCCCTGTTTTTTTAGGCACTCTATTCTTTTTTTGCTCCAAAAATTATGTAAACCCAGTTTTGGGGGAGTTGGAGGGGGGTCCACACTTTTATTGGCCCAATTTTTATGTTCAAAAAGAGAAACTATGAATTCGAATAGCATAATCTTATTGGCCATAAAAAAAACTGAGAATTCGGTGTCTTGCATTTTTGTCATACAACTAACCGTTTGCCAGAAAATCGTAATCAACGAAAGGGGGGTACTTTCACAATATCAAACTAACTTTATTGGGTAATTAAATAATTATTAATCTCATAATAAATGTTGAAAATGTCCTCCCCTTGCTGCTATACAACTTTCCATTCTTCTTTGCATAGAACGTCGAACACGTTCTAAAATCCCAGGAGTGGTTCTTATGTTTTGGAAAGCATCAATGATGCGTTGACGGAGGACCTCAACCGAATGCACGGGCCCAGCATCATAAACAGCACTTTTCACATATCCCCATAAAAAAAAGTCTAATGGGGTGCAATCCGGGGAACGTGGCGGCCAAGCTATTGGACCAGCTCTACCAATCCAACGATTTGGAAAAATAAGATTCAAATGATGGCGTACTGTTAAACGGAAATGAGGGGGAGCACCATCATGCATGAACCACATGCGTAGACGAATGTTAAAAGGCACATTTTCCAATAAACCGGGCAAATCGTTTTGCAAAAAATCTAGGTAAGTGTCCCCATTTAAAACTCTTGGAAAAAAGAAAGGACCAATAAGCTCATTTCCAACAATTCCTGCCCATACATTTAAACTGAACTGTTCCTGATGGCGGGATTGCCTTATTTCATGCGGATTTTCCAGTGCCCAAACATGTACATTGTGATAATTCACCACACCATCTCGCGTAAACTGAGATTCGTCGGTGAACAGGATCCGAGATAAAAAGTTAAGATCCCTCGTGCACTTCTTGGATATCCACCTAGCGAACTGCAAACGCCGCGGAAAATCCCGTGGCAGCAAACCTTGAACACGTTGGACGTGATATGGATATAAGCTGTTTTCGTGCATAACGCGCCACACAGTTGATTGGGAAATACCCAAATTTAAAGATATTTGTCTAGTACTCAACTGGGGATTTTCGTCGATCATATTTAAAATTTGTTCCTCTGTTACTGGGTGGCGAATTTCTCGTGGCCTGCCTGCATCATTTCTTACAGTTTGGAATTTGCCGTATTCACTGAGATGACGATGACAATTTGTAAATGTACGATGATCGGGGAGTCGGCGTTGAGGAACCCTAATTCCGTATAATCTTTGGGCTTTCAATGCGTTACCATCAGCCAGACCATAAACAAAATGAATGTCAGCAAGATGAGCGAAAGAGAATGGCACATTTTCCATTTTTAACTTAAACAAATTTCTTGATCGCAATAACAAGTGTAATCAACCAGCTAAAATCTGACAACTAACAATGATTAGTGTTTAATGACATTACCGAGGTGATGAGAGGGATTTATAAACAGTTGCCTGTTACCTACCTAATTTTGAATAGGGGGTGGCCGACAATTCCTGGGAGTAAAGTAAACGATATTTTACAGCTTGTAAATCCCTATAATTGATTTGTCCTTGAATAATGTCCTCCATGTATTTTCAATTTCTATGCTTGATTGACCAAAGGAGTTGTTGACTTGGATACAGGGATTATTTTAATTTTCGTTTAAACCAATGTTTGTGAAAATACCCCCTTTCGTTGATTACGATTTTCTGGCAAACGGTTAGTTGTATGACAAAAATGCAAGATACCGAATTCTTAGTTTTTTTTATGGCCAATAAGATTATGCTATTCGAATTCGGAGTTTCTCTTTTTGAACATAAAAATTGGGCCAATAAAAGTGTGGACCCCCCTCCAACTCCCCCAAAACTGGGTTTACATAATTTTTGAAGCAAAAAAAAATAGAGTGCCTAAAAAAACAGGGGTATGCCAATTTTCAGAAGATTCGATTCGTTATTATAGTCACAGTTTTAGATAATCTTGTTTTTTTTTCCACCTTACAGTGTAGCTCGGAGGGGGTGCATTTTAGGACACATGTTGATTTGAAGAAAAAGTCTTATTTTGATCCCCACAATACGCCCTTGAAATATTTACATCGAATTTTGAATCACCCTGTATATCACATATTATATAAACGAGTTGAAATCTCGACTGCTGAGAGATTCTTTCGTTTTCTGTTCCACTTTATTCGCATTTGGCAGCGAATTGATTTCTATGGGTAGACAATTGAAGAACTTTGATCAAAATTCACACTGACATTGGGTGAACATAAACGCTACGCTGGGCTATGAACTATTAGCCGTGGCAGTCAATAATCTACTGCTTTGCTGCCTAGTAAAACAAATTACTATTATTTCATCAACTACTTCCAACTAGAAGCGTTCTATGAATCTTATTCATATACGTACGGACATCCATTCTCATACAATAATCATTGAAGTTATCTTCTCATGGATTTCTTAATCTCTTTTGAGGTCAAAATTACGGATACTGAAGACCTAACAACCGTCACTCAACTGAAGCTGAGAGTGATATCCCGAGAGGTGACCCTACAATACTTGAATATCTACACTCCGGCCTTGAGAGAACTCACTCTAGATGGTAGCGTGATAGCTTCTCTGAGAGATCTAGGGGACGGTTTGAAGAATCTGAAGATACTGAGGGCGAATCGATGTGAATTGGCCTGTATAGACGGCGTTTTTGGATTAGAAAATCTGGAGGAGTTGTATGCTGCTGATAATGCGATATCGAGTCTAGCACCTTGTGCTTTTCTGACCCATTTGAACATCCTGGATGTAAGAAGGTAAATAAATCATAAATTTTACTTGAATCATCATTATCAGTTGGGTGCTCTATGCCATGATCTTCAGACTCCCCTCTGAAGTGAAATTTTGGAAATTTCTTTATGGGTCCACTGATTGCTTGGATGTTCATACTGCTCTTCACTTCTCCACTCAAACAGGACTACTTGGTGTCCTACTATCCACTCAACCGAAGTATTTTTTTGAAATTGATGAAATTGACCTAGGTATGTCTTGTCGCTCGTATCATAGCAAAAAAACTCAAATCTGAATCCACCTAGCTCTTCACGTGAAAGGTACCTATCTAGATGTAAAGTTGAGTATCCATCAACTCCGTAGCTCCATAGCTGTCCATAGCATCATTGCAGAAGAAGGCTAGCTTCTATGGAATGTTGTTCTGAAGGATCGCAAATAATGTATTCCTGAAGGGATAGTCCATACTGGTAAGGGAATGAACCAATCAATAGTCCTAATAGATTTCTCACTAAATATGCCTGATGTCATTACATTCACTTTATGGGAGATTTCTCTTCAGATTGGGAATAATTGACCTGCTTGTCATTGTGATAGGTTAATGTTCGATGAATTATCTACAAACTGTATCATGGGGTTCGCTCATCAAAGAAGTGGACCTCTGGAATGTTAGTATTGAAAATCATCAGTTCGTTCTGAATATGACAAAATGGCCACATTTGTAATATCATACTGTCAAGGAAACAGTTGCTTCAGTGCTGCTCCTCTGTAGAAATGCTTCTCCACTCAACATTCCAAACACTGAATGAAAATATTACATGAGGCGAATCTTTCCTCCTCAGAAAGTGCAAGTAAATAAATCGATTTTGTTTACCCTACATAAGTGATATCATAAAAGTTCGTAAGATTCATCAAGAAAGTAACTAACCTCAACATAACTATCCCAAAAACGAGCTCATATTGAGATTACTGAAAAAGCAGGAAGTGTCCCTGATAGAAATTGGTATTGGTATTGGTATTGGTAGGTTGGATGGTGACAAATGCGCTATGACCTAATTAGATCTATTGTGTCCCATCTGCTTCTGCTGTATCAAGGATTTCTTGTTCATAGCAGCCCCTCGAGATTCAATTCCTTCAGGAATTTGAGGATTTTGAGGGGGTCTAGTTGTGGTATTTCTTCCAGTATGTTCAATCTTTTGTGATGTACAGCGTCACACTCCATCAGTATGTGATGGGGTGTTTCTGGTTCTTCCTCACAGAATCAGCAGGTGCTGTCCTCCTGTAAGCCTAGCTTCCTTAGGTGTTCTTTGAGTATGCAATGCCCCGTTAGGAATCTCGTTATTGCTTTGAGACTTCCTTTATGAGGTTTGTCAGTGTCTTAGATCTTTCTCGGTTGAAATTTCCAAGGATATCTTCAGCCTGCCGTAGTCCTGGAAGTCTTCTCCATTGTCTGGCTCTCAAGGCTTCTTCCTCCTTCTCAAGTTCTCCTTGGGAATAGGAATTGCCAAGGCCGCAGAATGGCTCTGGTCCGATCAGTGGCGTTGAAGCCCCTTGTCGTGCCAGAGTGTTTGCTTGTTTATTCCCCTCCACTCCAATATGCCCTGGCACCCAGAGGAGAATCACTTCATTGTTGCTGCCAAGCTCATTCAATTTGCTCAGGCATTCTCATTCCCTCATAGAAAACTCATGATATATTTTGCGTGAATATTGAAATATTTCAGGTATTACTCCCACTTTCTTCTTCACCTTTCAGAAATTTTGTCCACGAAAGAAATATTACTTACCTGAAGTTGTGTGAAAATCTGAATGAACTTTACTTAGAAGGAAATCCAAGGATGGAAATATATACAATATATACAGAAAGGCTAAGAGTTATTTTGCCACAGCTGAAGAAGTTGAATGGATTCACGCTCATCCCAACTGGTATGAGTAATAAATAATAAACATTCTTCTAGGGATTCAACCTTCAACACAGATTTGCTCTATTTTACTGATGTGTTCGCTAAATCAATGACGTACTTTGTATATAATCAATGTCATTTCCGTATCTGATATCATCAAGACTTCATTGTAATTTCATTCCACAGAATCCCATTCTCCATGAAATGTCAAATTTCAAGCAATGACAGCTCTATCTGATAGATGAGCATCACGAAAGAGAACATCAGATGACTACAAGCTGAAGAAAACAGAAATTCCGCTGTTGTCTGTTACAGCCGCAAAAAAAGTATAGTGCATAACTCGCACGGAATGCTGATTTCTTACTTGTATGATTTGCAGCATTGGCTTACGGTTCGTGCTGCAAACTTCATTCTCGTGGAAAATGGCAATAACTCCGCACTGAGAAAAAAGATGGTAGTTATTACCAAACGTTTAGTAAAATAGGCGCCAGTCACAACTTTCATCAAATAATACCACTACAAAGTTGTACTATACTGAACTATGAGTATTATACTATTTTGTAGTGGTGATATCTGATATAGTATAGTATTATATATAATGTTGTAGTGGTATCATTTGATGAAAGTTGTGACTGGCGCCTATTTTACTAAGCGTTTGGTAATAACTACCATCTTTTTTTTTCAGTGCGTGCTCGTTAAACAATATACTATTATGTTAGTAAAATTCAAACACTAATATTCCTATCTCAAGGAAAATATTGTTCTATTCTGAAAAACATTTTCTGAGAATATGAACTTCCTGTCACGAGAAGATATTCATTTGAGTAGGTAGATATAAGAAATCATATTATGTATGGGATGAGACATATTTTTATGGATTGAACAAGAAACTTATATACTTTTGTTATATTTTCTGATTTTCATCATCAACTCAATATTTTTTATTTGCAACCGTGAAATATTTGAAAAACCCACGTTAAGGAAGTGTTCCACAACTATACATATATTGTTTTGAAACCAAAACAATTGAAATTTTTTGCATTCACACTGATATTTCTCATCATTTCAGGTGACGAAAATAGTGTGGAAGCAGATGGTTCAATTCAGAACTCTAGTCCTCGCATAGTAAGTATACCCTTGCCTAATGAATTGAACAAGTACTTACCCACCTCTGTTAAAAAAAACTGAGATAACTCACTCTTCACGATTTTTAATGACAATGTGTCACAATGGGGGATGGGACATCGAACAAGGGTTAATTGATCAATTCAGAACTCAACTTCATTAAATAAATAGGCTACTTATCATCAATCAAATCCATGAAAGACATCAATCTGGAGCTGTTCGTATAGTTTATTACCAATCAACAAAATTCCTAGAACCCGTTTCCCTCCTATCACATAATGGAAACATAGACATGAAAATAAGAAATATCACGGAAACTAAATTTGTAATTTGTGATGAAGAGGAATATTCTCAGATAAATTATGGACATACAAAAATGGATATATATTTATATGAAGCAATACATTGAGAATTCGCATTCTCTATGTGATGAGAATATCTACTCTTTTTCAGTTTATCCAATAGAAAACAACTACTTTCCTGGCTATATGCCACGACGAACATTGAATTATATCTATTGAACACACACGATAAGAGTTAGAAAATAAAATATAAAAACTTCTGAAATTGAGAATTTGCATTCTCCTTCAGACAAAAATATGTATATGGCACACATCATTCTGAATATTCAACAGCAAACAACTACTTTCCTGGCTATTTTCCACGTCGAACATTGAATTATATCTGATGAACATTCAAAAGGAGAACATGAAAAATAGAAAATAAAATTCTCCGAAATTGAGAATTGACATTCTTCTTCAAATCGGATGAATAATATGATGTATAATGATATAGAAATATAACTTACCAATATATTCAGCATTGCAATGAATATTGGAATGTATAGGAAAAGTATACTGGCATAAACTCTGATCGTGATGAGCTTGAAAACTTCCAAAAAGAATCATTCATATTAGTGATATGGGAAATATTATCTCTCACACGCAGGTTATTATGACTTCATTGCAATGAAACCATTTCGGATTTCTGAATCCTCATCAGTAAACCATGATGTCCACTTATTCTTACAGCCATTCTTCATGAAAAAGAGTAGATATTCTCATCACATAGAGAATGCGAATTCTCAATGTATTGCTTCATATAAATATATATTCATTTTAGTATGGCCATAATTCATCTGAGAATATTCCTTTTCAACACTTTCATACCCAATCAGGGGGTTCAAACTTGAACGATGGAAACTTGTGATTTTTATAGATCTCTAATCGCAGATTCGTGATAGAGTCTCAATTCAGAATGTCAATTTATCATACACCCAAAAGCAATGTAATTTGTGAGATCATCCGAACGAATATCGGTTCCAACCCTAAACCCAATATGTGAATATGAATATTCTTTCTGCCTGTCCTGCGAAGCGATGAGAATATAATATTGTAGGAAATTCTTTCGGTGGTCCATTAGTTTTCAATACTCCTTTCTTTTTTGCGTTATCGTTACGAAATGATTCACACATGTATTCAAACCAACGTAGGTTACGTACTGCTCATGTTGGATCTTTTGTCAGTATCAGACGCATTTTGCTCGGTCTCAAAACAAATAAGGCTAATGGTCCTGATGGATTTCCACCCATTATTCCCATAAAATATGCACTAGAATTGACACCGATTATCTGCAAGCTATACCATCTCCTACAAGTCGGGTATGTCTCCATCTCGCTGGAAAATAGCTAGAGTCCATTGGGCGTGTACACCTTAGTAGAACTTTTAACTCAAACCATGTTTATAATGATCCTTTTATACATAAATAATGATTGACGACATAATTCGATCGAAAAATTAACTGGAATGTTTTATTTTTGGACATAAATGATAGTACCTTCTGAAAACGGAGACCCTCTTATGACGTAGAAACCCCATCTCGCCATATATATATATATATAAACCATATATATCTACTACTGATATATGAATCATAGCTCTCCTCAAAGCGGGACCCATTTCTGTATAGGTAATGAAATCGACCAATAGGCGTTGATACCGACGTTGGGAAAAAATAATAGGAAATTTGTCAAACCAATATGGCTGTTTCCATCCTTCACTTTTCGTTCTCATAGATTCAAAGAGTACCTCTCATTTTGGTCCCATTTTTGTTGAGATATCGTATAGGCGATGCGCCATATATAGAAATAGTAGGTATATGGTTGAAACTGACACTCTCCTGACACTTATTACTGTTGCCATATCATCCAAACAAAATATCCGAGAAATCGAAATCGATATTGAAATATCTTTTGATATCCACTACCACTAACTGCAGAAAAATATATTCGAGTTGTCGATTGTAGGTTGAATCATTGGAGTATAAACAATCTCTAGACAACGAAATGTCTCAATCTCAAAACCATTTGCACCATTACAATTTCACAATAATCCAATATATTTCATAAACATAGCAACATTGCTTTGTTGACCCGTTTCACATGGAGCTGCAAAAAGTCAATCTAGGTTAGAATTGATTTGTCAGAAATCATGTATCAATCATCTCTGTCTGGAATAGTCTTGTTTCAGTATTAGGGTTTTGACGTCACATCATCGCCTCGTTTTCAGAGGTCCGAAAAATCGGGGATTTCAATAATTTTTTATAAAACGTAGGGAGCTCACAGCAAGAAACGGTTTGCGGTGGTGAGCTAGTTTAGGTGAGTTCTATCGAATTATGAAATAAAATTTTTTTGTGATATAAGCCCATTGCCCTTTCATTAGTCATCTCCAAAGTGATGGAGAAAGAAATCAACATTGAACTGATCAAATAAGTGGAAAGCTCATGAAACATTAAAGATAGAAATACGGCTTTCGTCACCGAAGATCAACTGGAGATATACTCACCTACGTCACCCTTCTATAGCAGGCTTCTTCAGGAAATCCTGGGGAATCTCTAGCTGTAACGTTAGATATGTCGAAGGCATTCGACCGTGTTCCATCTTTCATCGAGTTTTCTTTCAGGTAGATTGCTCCATGTGGTGTTGGACGGAGTGTCATCTGATACCAATGACATCAATTCCGGCGTTCAACAAAGATCAATTCTAGGCACCAACATTGTTCCCACTTCATATCAACGATTTATTGGGAGCAACCACTTGCCCTATCCACAGCTTTGCCGATGATAGTATTCTCCCTATACTGCGTTCTTTTCTAGAATTCCCATTCCTTCCCAGGAAACTTCCAAAACCCAAGCATGTATTTTCCCTAGAAAGGTGGAGTTCAGTATGCCTGATATAACAATGTCTGATGCCTGATGATGCAATGCCTACCAAAAGCACCATATCTATGCTCGGTATTATCATCAGCGATACTCTGTCATGGGAAAGTCATGTCCGATTCATCGCTAAAGCTGCTTCACAAAAAATCGGGTTCTTTTTCTGTGTGAAAATCTACTTTACACCTCAACAGCTTCTCATGATCTACAAAGCACAGATACGGGCAGTTCTAGAATACTGTTCTCATGTATGCGGTTCAGCACACAAACCTACGCTGATGCTCTTGGATTCCATCCAGAGAAGAGTCATTTGCCTGGTGGGTAATGCCACACTCACTGAATCTTTGACCCTATCAGAACACTGTAGAAAAGTCAGTGACCTTCCGCTTTTCTATACATACTTCCACGGGAAATGTTCCTCAGAAATATCTGCTATAATAACTTCACTAGCAATACCAGTCAGACTAGATAGACATGCCTATTCAGCACATCCCTTCGTCGTTAAACTTGAAAAATGTCGAACAACACTCTACCAAAACTCGTTCGTCTATAGAACGGTGGAGCATTGGAATTATTCGCCAATGGAAGTATTCCCAAGAACTTATAACTCGACTTATAACCCCCAGAAGTTGAAAAATATCTAACACATACCTATCCTCTCCCTATCCTCCCTAGGTACGCACGATGTTCCACGAACCTTATAGGAATTTCCTTTCGTGTGCCGAAGAGATAAAACAAAGTTCGTTTCAATGTTTTCGAAATCAGGAAAATCTGTGAATTAAATTATTTTTTATAGCCTATTCACTGATCAAAGGTGCATTTTCGTATATATATGTGAGTTGATTTCAATCAGACTATTTTGGTGACTAGTTCACCCTGTAGAATTTATGATACGTTGTTCTGTTTAATCGACTTCCTTCGTACCTTTTCGTACAGGATGACGTGATGCCTGATCTATAATAGGGGTCCTTGGAAGTTTAATACAATTTTCATGCATACACAGGGTGAGTCAATAGTGTGTTCCCCTTCGATATCAGCCAAACCGTCAGGTATATAAAAATAAATTCGAATACAATAGTTTCAGAATTTTGAAAGAGCTATCACCTAAAATTATTTTCATATCTATAGAATGTTCTAATTCCAAGATATCGACTGATGATGGGCGTTTTTATATGGGACATCCTGTATATTATTGCATTTTTAAATTTTCACTAAAGAGCTGATTCCATCAATGTAGCACACTTGGGGTCTAGCGGAAATGATTACAGAGATATAGGGTGTTCAGAAAAGAAAATTTTCAAATTCGGAATTCTTTTGTGTCAGATCTATTCATTCATGGTCCAAACGGCCTACATGTTCCTATCTCAACGTTTGATTTTCCATCTACCGAAATTTAATTGGATTAGATACAGGGTGATTAAAAATCTTGAATTTTGAACCATCCTGTATTTGTTCCAATTAAGTGTCAGTAGATATGATGAATCAAAAGTTGGGATAGGGACTTCTGAGCCGTTTTGACCAATAAAGTTGAAAAATATAGATTTTGAACACATTCCAGCTATTCCCCAAGTGCGGTACATTGATGAAATCAGCTGTTGAGGGAGAATCTAGAAATGTGATAATATACAGGGTGTTCAATTTGAAAACACCCATCATCAATCGATATCTTGGAATTCGAACATCCTATAGATATGAAAATAATTTTAGGTGATAGTTCTCAAGAAACCCTATAACTGTTGTATTCGAATTTTTTCTATATATCTGACGGTTTGGCTAACACACTATTAACTGACTCTATATATAGATATAGATATTTCTATCAAGAAGTCTTACACAACGTTAGATCGTGTGACAGTTTGTTTAAAAATGTATTTGACATAAATATGACGTTGTGACGACACTACTTTCCCGGTCCAGAATGTGACATCGACGAGAGGCACTACAATTTACGAATGACACTCAATTTGACAGTACTTATAGTTGTTCCAACAAATAGCACAAATGTCCGAACTTTGCAAACTGTGATATTGTGAATTGAAAAGGAAATTTCGATTTTATTTTTTCAGGGTCGCTTGTACCATAGAAATCTTGCAAGTGGAAATGAACGCGAATTCAGTGTCCAATTTCCCCCAAGAGTATTTCATACTTAGTGCTGTGCTCATAGATACCTAGATGTACTTCAATTCAAAGTATATGTTAGCGCTCAATGTGATTCTAGTTGTTTGTTGTTCCACATTAGCTTCCTTTTCCAATGAAAATAAAATGATTACAAGCGTCAATATTGTTTATTGATCTATCATCGAGAACATTTATTTCACATATTTACGATTGAAACTATCATTATTTATACATTTTTCTATATTTAAATATATTTCGAGACTTACATAGTATATCTATTTCATCATAGGTATTTATCTCTCATATCATAATAATTTCAAGATTGGTCTTATATCTAATGACTAGAATTCGACTCCATTTGGAATTTATCTCTGATAAATTCCGAAAAATTTAAAACAAATCCAAACAACAACTAAGATTTTCTAAAACTAGTCAACATGGAATGTTTAATGTTTCATCTATTCAGACTAATCAACAATAAAATAAATAAACTATCTTCACAAAAACTGAACAATTATTCGAACAACCATTTCACATATTAAGATTATCATATTTATATATATTATTTATACCTATATATTAGGTATCTAACTAAAAGGTAATTTATTTGTCTTTGGTGATTCTAGCGTATGGCATTTACAAAAATACATGAAAATGATGGACACATTGTTCCTTATTTTAACTCACATTCAATTAAGGAAAATAAAATGGATATGTTCGAAATGATACTTAACCTATGTAAGTATACACAGACTAATTATTCAACTAGATTCTTCGAATCATGTTGATATAGCTGCATTTATTTCAGGCAGAGACTTTGGACGAATATTCATGAATTGAGTTCTGAAATGATATAAATATGTAACTGAATCTCGTCCAAAATCTTATAACACGTTTTTTCTATCAAAAGACATCAATTCAACTCAGATGAGAAACACAAATGTATTGTTCACAGACTTATTATTGCAGAACATGGATATTTAATACAGTTCACCTAACTATAATATACATTACATTATTTATCAATAATTATTTGTTCCTATATGGCTCGCATGATAAGTTTTTATTAATTCCATTCCACAAAATAATTAGTCGCAATACAGACATTGTTCTCGTAACATATCGTGGGTCATCTCACGTAATGACGTAATGACTTATATTCTTTTATCAACAACTATGGAGTCATTTATACATTGCTAACTCGATTTTCAACATTTATGACAGAGATTATTGTGATGAATCGAGTAATAAGAGTAATAATTACAGTAGGATGGCGTAATAATCTGACATCCCATCGTCTTGTCAAATTCAACTAGGTAGGTATTCGTTCTACTAGTTCTACTGAAGCACACCACTATACTACTGTTTGTGGAATACACGCAAATAGGACTTGACACTTGACAGTTGCAGATTGGCTCACACTTATGTGCGGGCTATTCGAATAGATTAGTACAGACCAATCAGAACAATGGAACTTCATTGTTGATAACTAGCCAGGGTACTACAATTAATCATCGCGCTGGGGGACTGCTACAGCGGAAGCAAGTTAATGAATAATCTGCAATAGTATAATTCATTTTACAACTACTGAAAAGTGAAATGGCATATAATACCTGGTAAGAATGACTGATATGTGATCGCACGACTTTTTCCCTGTTAATAAAAGGTAGATCCAACAATGTTTCTCATATTTCCACGATCAAAATTATTGAATTAAGTTATAAGCTGTTCGTTGATTGAAATTTGTGTCAATGAGTTTTCGATGGAATTACTTATTTCAAATCAGATTTAGTGATTTTGCAATATAATAAGCTTTATTATCTCTGAACTATCAGAGTTGCTTTGATATTTGAATACACACAGAAAAAAAATTTCTTCGAATGAGAAAACCCATTCTCTTGAAAATTCAATTGTATATCTTCTTTGAATTGAGCATATTCTTTTGGGTCGAGAAATCTGGTATGTTCAAGAAAATAGTGTCATATTATTGAAATATATTCTCGAACCAAGAATGTAATTATTGAATTACTTAATTAATTACTTCAACTCAATCAAAACGATTTTTCAATTCGCAGAAGCGTACTATTTTGTTTCAATAAATTTATTGCTTGATCCAAGAATATAAGTATACATTTCTTCAAATCAAAGAATGTCCATTTCATCGAATGACATATTCAGTTTCCTTGAATTGCAAAAACCTAATATGTTGAGGCAATACGCCATTTTCTTGAAACAAAAATATAAATAATTATTTCTTCAAATGGAGCATTCTAATTTCATCATATTGGTATTATAATTTCATCAAATCGAAGACTCCTGATAGTTTTATTCAATGCCATATTTACTTGATTCAAAGATATGAATATCAATTTTCTCAAATGAAAGGAATATAATATCTTCAACTTAATGAACTTGATGACATTAATAATTTCTCTAATTGAAGAAGCCACATTTTGATTCAATACTTCATTTACTTGATTCAAGTCTATGAATAGGTATTTCTTTGGAAGAAAATAATATGCCCTCGGAAATCAAGGGTAAGCAATCCTGTTGCCAAAACTCAGGCCTCAGTCTTCAATCATTATTGACTATGCTCACATCATTATGACAGGCCCACACCGGCGAAACGGCATTAAGCTGCGAAGTTTGAAAATTCTGAATGTTTTATCGAGTGTGTATAGGTGGAAATGTCTTAGAATATAAATATCTAACAAATGCAGAACTTGTAGAGAGCTGGTGAAGGTATAACATTGAATTCCCTTGGTAAGTAGGTACCTTTCCAAATATCGATAGTCATTATTGTGAGTGAATCAACAATTTTTCAATCGAAATAACAGGGATTTAGTAGTATCCTGCTATGAAAATATGCTTATTAATTCATTCGAAATTTTTTTTGTAGCAAAATGACGACTGGTTGATGAATGAAGAAGTACAAATGTCTCGCAAATACTTGAGAAGACCTTGACATTAGGTGAGAGAAAGTTTCCTGCCGAATCTATATATACCCGATATCTTCCAGAAGGCATGATATTACTGGAGTCACGATATTACATATTATAGAGGTGAGTTTTTAATCAGTCATAATACTTATGTCATTGTTTGTAACCGTTATCATTTCCAGCGAAACTTCAAGAAGACGAAATCAAGGCATGTGATTATTCTATAACCATTTGGGGTCTTGATGGACAATACTGATCCAAGATGTACATACCTATTCATGGAATTATTGTCAACTAAAGGAACAAATATATATATTTGTTCACGAATATTCTGTGGAGTTTAGTTATCTCATTGGGAATCATTCACAGTTTTGAATCAAAAACATTGTTATATTTTTATCCAAGCAGTCAATATTTTGATACAAGAAAATAGTTCCATTGGAGAGAATGAGCTCAATATTCATTATAAAAAACTTATAAATTCGGATCGAAAATATCAATGTGTTCATTGAAAATTTACGGAATTTTGACTTAAATAAATCGTTCATTTTGAAATGAAATAGAACAATTCTCAATAATAGTAATCCACAGTTGCAAATTGAGAAAATGATTGTTTTCATTTAGTGGATGGATTCCATATCTCAAAATTATGGTTTTCCTGAAATAAGTAAATGATTTTGTCAATATGAATTATTTCAATTCTCACTTCAACATAACAAACGTCTCCAACCATGCATATATTGATTTTCCTACAAGAGAGTTGTTGAATAAATCATTGTTTCGGATCAAGAATATCATCTCTTTCGTTATATACAAACAAATCATTTTCTTGGACCAATGCACTCATGCTCAATACAAGAGATTCTTTTTTTGTGTGTAGTTGTAGATAAAGTATTGTATTCTACTCGCACATAATGACTATTACCCACTCAGACGATGCCAGCACTTGCCTTCGGCTCGTACTGCAACTTTCATCATCGTGGGTAATAGCCATCATTATACGCTAGTTGAATAATATACTAATACTCTATGATCTCACAAAGTGGCGTAGCTCAATGTTCATTGTTTTTCGTGTAATGGAATATCGAATACTCAGCCTATCTCAAATCATTGGACTACCAAATCTCACGAAGTGACCTAAAATTGGGAGTCACGTCGATATGTGAGATATATTTTTATTATTTGTTGAAAATTTCAACTGTGACGTATTTTATAATCCGGTTTGCCGCAGAAATTAAAATATCTCGGGTGACGTCTGAAGGTACTGAGAGGGGTATTGTAAGGTATTGTACATGTCGAATCAATTTCTATGTTTTTCATCAATAGAAATAAATATTCGGATCTGATATTCATTTGAATTCACTTCATATTCATGATGTATCTATATAAGGTCTTATTATATGATCTCACGTAGTGATGAATATGACAAACATATTTTTTCTACGTTTTTAGCGATGCTTTCTCGAAATCTCACAATATCATAACAGCTAGTTCCAGTTCTTTCTCTAATAAATGAAAAACAATGACATTTAATAGAGAAACCTCTGAGCTATGAGCGAATTAAGATGTTGAAAATCTTTGAATTGCACTCCTGTACAGTCAAGAAAACTGAGATACGTCATTACGTGAGATGACCGTCGATGTGTATAGGATTGATTCGTTTATTTGGAATAATCAGAATATTATTATGGAAGAAGCAACTATAAGCTATACTATGATAAAATAGTGAACAGTGCGACCTTGAAGTGACGCATTGATTCATTATTACCCAAATGCTACTTCATCCAACGACAATGTAATGATAGCTGTCATTCCATGCTCGCACAAGACTCTCGAAGACTTCTGAGGGTTGCTCGTAAGGGGGCAACCGAATGACGGATAGAACAATTTTAGAAAAATTTTAGAACAATTTTAGAACAATATCAAAGTTTACAGAATTAATTATTTTTAATTCTGTAAACTTTGACAATATACACGAGCACAAGGTAACTTGCGATGTCGAGAGTCATTAACCGTGTGCGAGTGTAATAATAGCCATTACATAATCGTTGCGTACATCATTTTTTCACGACCAATAGTTATACAGGGTGTCCCGAAATAAGCCTGCCAAACTTCACCAGCGGCTTCTTCGATGAAAAATAGGAAAAAATTTTCAATGAACATGCGGCGAGGAAATGTCTCCCAAGGGAGCTACGGCTTCCTGAAAGAAAGCTCCTGGAGATGATATTTCTTGTGTATTTCCGAAACTCCATGTGATGAAAAAATAATATAGGGTGGGACTAGATTAAATATTGTTCAACATTTTTTTATGCATATGTTTCGACAATTCAATTCAATCATTGTGGATATATATATAACAGAAAACAACCACTTTTCTGGCTATTCGTCACGTCGAACATTGAAAAATAATAATGTTCTGAAATTGTAGTTGCTTTCTGTTGAATATTCAGAATTGAATCATGTTCATATACCTACAAATTTTCAAATGAAGGAGAATGCGGTTTTTCAACTTCAGAAGATTTCGTTTTCAAATTATCATCGTGTGTGTTCAATAGATATAATTCAATGTTCATTGTGGCATATAACCAGAGAAGTAGTTGTTTTCTGTCGAATGAATCGGGAAAGAATTATTATGTTCATCACTCAGAGAATTCTCAATATATTTCTTTAATTCATCTGAGAATAATTATTTTCAATAATTTCACCCAACCCAATCAAGGGGTTCAAACTTGAATGATGAATGTTATGTGTGATTGACAGTTTTGTGGAATATTGAGCCGTATCGAATTTTGTACCTTTTGCGTTTTTCTTTGTATCAAATATCGTGGTTTTCAATATTTATTTGAAAATTTACAGAAACGGTGTCTGTTCCAATACTATTATTAATTGCTTATAACAATGAATGTGATAAGATAAAAGTATAATATGGCGAACCCGCCTCTTGCACTGCATTCCCACCAAATCCAAACAATTTCATAGTGGTAGAAGAGGTCAGCAGTGGAACAAAAGATGAACAAAGGGAAACAACGGCAACTCATCAGCCCCCTCACAGATTTTCCATGAATTCAATCATTTATTCTGCAATTTTTAATTTGTTGTTATATGACGAAATACCTAGTTGGTATATCGAAGACTGGAATCTTTGGCATGATTATCACACTACACTATAATAAACACATCTAGATCCATATATGGCTAGCTATACTGTAGTGCCAAAAATCATCCTGTGTTGTGTGTTAAGATGTTGTTATTAATTATTTATGTTATTAGTATCGTTTTCCTCATTGCATACAGCATGTACTGGATAATAAAGAGACGAAAGAACAATTCTGAATAATACTTAGCACGCAACACTCAGCAACAATTGGAAACTTTCACTGAAAACCACATCTCGTGATCATGTTCATGAACATTTTTCCTAGTCCTGACTAGGCACATTTTCAGGACTAGTATTGAAAATTCACCGAAGTCATTGAAAAGTTTCATCACATGTCAAGAAGTCGTTAATTATAGACAAATTATAGAGATTTTATCAATATAATTCGATATGAATCATGTTCTGAATATCTTCGAAAAACTTATATACCGATGAAGAAAGGTCGAACATTCTTACCATTATATCTCACTTTTATCTGGAGTACCCTACACAGACATTATCATGTGCGTGAATCTGATCTAATATCTACTGGCTTCATGAACTTCCATGATGATGCCAAGAGAATCAATAGAATATATCATTGAAATAAATAGAAATAAAGATCCTTATTGAAATATGGTTTCTCTCAATATATCCATCGAAAGAAATCCCTTTATTCCACACCATAAATATATCTTCCTGAAGAATGTTTTTTTCAGTTCAAAAATGGAAGAAATTCTCAGCATGTTGGTCACATGTTGAAGTCCATCTTCGCAATTTGAAATACAATGTACCTACATGTGCCCGGTATTCTATTCCAAATTTAAACTACTGGCCACTGTCCATCAAGAACTCCGCATTCATTTAGTCTTGTTCAATATGGTTTCTTATACCTATTCTATACGGTACCACAAAATATAGTTTAGCAAATATCTCCTATGTATGTACAGTCCTTTCGAAAAATAACTTGATTCATCTAGTCGCTATCGGAACTGGATTCCTCTACCACCTTTGGGGGTGGTTCAACCTTTGGAGGGGCAGCTGGTTTAGACACGTAAGTAGCAGCTGCATAGGGATTCGGATTTTCTCCTTCTGTGTGTTCAATTCCAACTCTGGAATGGTATAACAATAAAATTAGTCCGTTCACCAGGTTATTATAACACGATGAATTATGTATATGTATATAAAGAACCTCGGATTTATTATTGATTCGGATCACATTATGGGCCCCTACTTATAATTGTTCAACAAGAACTGCTGAAAGAATTGCGTTTTTTTGGGTACTTTGTATAAATCAGAGCTCTCAGAACCGTGATGAATTAGTCAAATAACAAAAACTATGAAATAATAATATTCACGAACCCCTCTATACATATTTGGGCAACCACACAGCACACAGCTGCCCTAACATCAGTAGAATGAAGATTAGCTAACTACATAGTTTTTCATAGATAGTTTTCGAGAATCAATATCGAATTAATACCTCTGAAGAACATCTCAGGAGGTGCTAAGTTCATTTCTTCTCCATGTCCATTGGAAGAAAATTAGGAGGAAGACCTCGATCCTCTAAGAACACGAAACATAATTTTGCCGGTGTAGGTGCCGATATACTGAGAGATAAAAGGCAATGGAAGGACAGAAGCACTAGGAATCAGAATAGGTGGACATTATGATGAAAGAACAACTACTACTGCCAGTGCCGGATTTATGGGGGGGCTATGGGACTATCAGCCCCAGGCGGTGAATTTTAAGAGGCGGTAGAAAGAAGCGAACGCGCATCAAAGCGACTAGGTTGGGATAGTGTTTTATTGAAAATCATACAATTTACTATTATTAGTAACAAAGTCCTGTGATCACTTCAGAATCCGAGTATTCCAAATCAGTCAACCTATTCGATACGAATCAGTACGACCTATTACTGACAGCCATAAAATTTGCTACTTGTAACAGGCGGATCTAGAACAATGCAATATTCCATTTGGATTCCTTAAACTGTGCAATAGGGTTCTTTTAGAAAAATCAATCTATGTAGACGGAAGAATAGCGCAGTTGGTGAAACGCTCAACTTGTAATCGGAACATCTCTAGATCGAATCCCCGGTGGAGCAGAGAATTTTCATTTATAAAATGAGTTATAAATTCTGAATTTCGAAGCCTCGGCCGCAGATGATTTCGCACGATTCACTGTTGCGTTCTAATTGACAGTGCTGCTCCTAAGGTGTCGAATTAAGTCAGTAACAAAACCTACACAAAACACACGAAGCTCGTAAGTTCGATGGCCAGTTGGTGTGTACATACACATCCAATAAAGTACATATTCTCTCTCGCATTCTATTTATTTCGGCAAATGAATTGCTTTAGCACCTATTTGATGCAGATAGTCCGCTGTGGTTATGCATTTTTTTCAGCCACTAATAGAAATTTGTTTCAGTGAATTTCAGCATTTATCTAAAAAATAAATATATTTGTTGTTTGTTGTTATAGGTTCAAAGGTGAGAAGTAATTTTAATTTGATTCGTTATACACAATGATTTCATGTTATAGCCAGCCGCCACTGATAGAAATTTGTTTCAGTGTATTTTAGCATTTATCTAAAAAATATATATATTTGTTGTTTGTTGTTATGGGTTTAAAGGTGAGAAGTAATTATAATTTGATTCGTTATACGCAATGATTTCGTGTCATTGTCATATGCTGTGATAAAAAAGCAGTGAACGGGTAGTGTACTTTGAATTTTGGGACTGACAATTGGAGAGTGCGAGTAACAAAGGTGCTAAGTGCCAAAAATGAAGTTTCGAGATATTTAAGGAAAAAGTAATAAAAACGTCAATATTTGTTTTTTTTTTGTTCATTAGCATCAAAAATCGTATAAAAGGTCAACGGAAAACCAATTCTAACTATCACCGATATATGTGATGAAACACAGCTGAAAATGAAAATTATTTCTTAAAAAAAAGGAACGAGGTAAGTGCCACACTTTTTTTAAACAAAATAGGACCAGGAAGTATCGCAGATATGATTCGTAGTTTTTCAAATTTGAAAATAAGGTTATAAGCAATAGTCAAACTGACATTGATCTCAATAATAAAAAAATTTACAAAAGAACGAGGTGTCTAATAATTCGGCAATACAGCAATTCAATCTGGTACTTGCCCCCTTTGATGGCAAATAACCGTTGTCCCTTACCGCTGGCTCCATCTAATTGTTGTTGTTGAAAGGATAATATTACTCGTGGCACTTACAGCTTTTGTCAGGTCATAAAGCATCAGGGTTGGAATAAGTCCTGACTCTTATAAAAAAGTCATCAAAGTCCGACTTTTTGAATTAAGTCAGACTTTTTTGGATTGATTCATTTAAAAAAAAAAACAAATTTGATTTACCAAAGGCGAAATAGAAGAAAAGAAACAAAAAAACTATGTTTTTATTCCCTTCAGAAATCTTTTAGAATAACATCATAATATATAACATGTCATTTTTTCAAAACAAAATTAAAAGTGATGATAGAATACAAAATAATAGATACATATAGATCCAATATCATCCATAAAGTTCGTAACACATGAAGAAAAAGTTTATTAGTAGAATATCGAAACATTTTTTCTCGGGGATCTATTATGCATGTCTGACTACTTAAAAGTTGATTTTGACAAATGTCACTTGATCACTGGTATGGCGGTAAATTCAAAAAATTACGATGGCAAAAAGTGGGGTTAGATGGAAAGATGAAGTTATTTAAAAAAAATAAAAATAGCTATTTTCAGTTTTCTCAAATAATGGCTGGAAACTCCATATGTGAGCATGAAATTGAATTCTATTCAACTTGTACATCATCAACATCACTACTGCCAGAAAAAAAAAATTGTAACAAAATTGAAGAATATTCGAAAAAATATATAGCTATTTCCAATTCTCCTCCAAAAATTGCTCGAAACTGAATGTGGAATAGCAACTTAATAAGAAATGTTTATGAATATTTTGTTATCTAACCCCACTTTTCGTCGATTTATAGTATTATTTTTATTTATCACCATACCAGTGATCACGTGACATGTGTCAAAATCGATTTTCAAGTTATCGGATATGCCATATAATGGATCGCCGAGAGAAAAAAATTCGATGCTGTGATAATAAACCTGTTCTCATATGTTATGGACTTTATGGATGATACTTGATACTGTATATATCTGTTAGTAAAAATCTCTGTAATGCTTGAAATAACAAAGTCTTGCCAAAATACGATCGACTTTTTCAGTTTAAACTAGTTAAAATCAAAGGTAATAGTGCAATTTGTCTCATTTTTAAAAATTTGAATGAATTCATGACTTTTTCGAAAAAAGTCAATGGAATTAATTCACGAATTAAATCATTGATTTAATTCATATGAATTAATTCATGCCAACCCTGTAAAGCATGTCGTTCAACACCGTTTTACAGCAATATCTCAATTCATGAGATTGTGGCACTTAGCACCTTTGTTACTTCCACTCTTCAATTATTGAAATTCATCATTTGGCGGAGGCGCAGTGGTTGCGTAATAGTTAGCCCCCGGCGTAAGTGAGTATAAATGCGGCACTGACTACTGCTTACTATATTCAGAAGTTGAATATAACTCAGCTAAGGTTGTTAAAAATGCTGCTAATAAGTCACTTCCTCTCAAGAAAGCACCTGCATTGAATGAGTATCCTTATTATCTTCGGCATTGACACTAAAATCCTAAGCACATGTCCTGACATGAAAAATCATGGGAAGATCTCTGAAGAACAGGTTGTTATCTAATGTTATGGATTACCTAGCTAGGAGCAGATATAGCTATTTGTGTATTTAGAGCGCAAAGTGATAGATTGCCGCTCGACAAAGAAAGTTACCTTTGGAGAGCGGCAATAACACTTTGTGCTCGAAATACACACAAGATTTTTTCTACTAACGCAGCTTTTGAAAATAACTACCCTGAAAGTATGAGCGATTGAAATAGTTGAGAAAGTTCTAATCCATATTATCCCATATGTTCAAAGGAAACAAAAAAAGAAAAATTGAAATAACTGACAAGCCAGAAAAAAAATGTCGGGCCTACCGAGAATTGAAACTGGACCACCAGCGTGGCAACCTGAGCTTCAGAACTCTGAGCCATAGTACGATGAGCTCTGCAATCAAATTGAACATATCACTCATGGATGCAATAAAATAAAGATACACTGTCTTTCTGATCACAACAAAGAGTTTGAATATAAAGTATAATTCATCGTTTTCATCAACAGATATGCTTCATCGGGAGCTTCTTGTAGAAATTTGTTGGTATATATCTTCAGCAGTGAATGTTTTGGATTTTTCTCGCTTTATATCCAATAGATTGTTTCTTGAGAAATGCGATAAGTTTCAGATACTTATTGATTCCGATATTATCTTTAACATTCAAGCATGTAAACGTACCATCGAATATATAGACCAATGAGTTAATGACTTCAAAGTCTTTGATTTTTAAAATAAAATGAGCCAGTAAACCGTTTTCTGAATTCATATTCACGATCTCGGAGTGGCACCAATTTATGAATGTATCATATTGTAATTCATATTTCTTCCTTGATTTCTCCGGTAATAGATTCAAACTCTTGCGCTTTCTGCTATATCATCAGGAAGGAGGTGTGTTTGATGATTCACTGTCACTATTTTCCATCATGAAAGAATTGAGGGTTTTCAAGAATAGATAAGTATAGGTTACAGAGATAAGCGAGCGTTTTTTCAATATTTCCGCTCACGAGCGCAAATGCTGTCAAAGAATGACATTTCTGGAAAAACGTCAACTTTGTGCTGGAATTTGAAAGCGTCGAAGACTACTTTGTTAAGCGTTCGTAGAAAAAGTATATACTCACCTATATTCGTGCCTGGCCAGATATCGCACATACTTCTCAGGTGGTTCATCGCTGTCAGAATTCTGCAAACTGACACTCCTACAGGTGGTATGACTGACCTGAGTAGCAGGCATTGTGAATTCTACGTAACAGTATTCTGCTAGCTTCTCGGGCATTTGGTCATAGCTGGTCAAGGCAATACGACAAACCATGTTGTGTGTAGTATAAGCACCTGAAAATTAATCGATCAGTCATAACATTTTGTCCGGTACTGTTAACCTCCTCCGCACTGAATGTTGTTCATAAGTTAGTTCATTTTTACAGAATCCCAGAGAAAGTGTGACAACATTGACATGTCAAGATGGAGACATTTTCTGTAAAAAATCGAAACTATTTTCACGCAATTATCCAAACTTCAATTGCTCTACATCTCTAACAAATTCGTTTCGTCTTCATTCATCATATAAACTGTGTCTTTTATGTTAACCTTTTTCCACCTTTGAACGACTAGGAGATTATCGAAAATTTTCATTTTGCACCAACGATAGTTTGGATACCACATTCTGATTCTAACAGAAAATATGTATGTTTTAGAAAGACGTATAATCGAATGGACAATTTTTGTCAGAAATGTTACTGACACCCTATCCCATTTAAAAAATCCAAAAAAAGCATATATACAAATTTACCATTCGATCAAAACGTAGCATCTGATATATACCTACTGCATTTCAACAAATTGAAAGATTTGAAAATCCCAGCAATTTGAAAAATACCCATGGACTCATTATACATAAAGGGTATGTCACGACTCACGACGAGCTTACACAATCTCTATATCGAGAATCAGTCGGGAGAAATCTATGGAAATATACATGCTCATATTTTAGAATATTCTTACTTCATTTGAGATATTTTCAGCAATGCACTGTTGCCGCTTCTATTAGAAAGTAGTATCAACATTGATATTTCGAATGGAACACCCTGTATTCCATCGAATTTTTAGATTCTTCCTGATTTTATCGATATATCATACTCAGGGTCTATCGAAAAATATCACTGAGAATAGGGTGTCCAAAATCGATATTCTTCAACTTTAGGATTTTTTGTGTCTATATTATTCATAATCGGTCAAAACAACTCACATGTTCCTTTCTCAACTTTCGATTCACTATTTACTGATATCAAATCGGAGCAGATGCAGGGTGCTTCAAGATTCAGAATTCTGATCACCCTTTATCTGTTTCGATTAGATATCAGTAAAAAATGAATGAAAAGTTGAGATAGGGACATGTGAGCCGTTTTGGCCGATAATTTTGAACACATGTGATGTATCGATGAAATCAGCTTTTCATGAAGAATATAAAAATGCAATAAAATGCTGGGTACTTCATTTGAAATAACAAAGTTGATGCTATTTTTTGATAAAAGCGGCAACACTGCATTGCTAAAATATTTCAAATGAAGAGAGCGTATCCTAAAATATATGCATGCACATTTTCATGGATTTCTCCCGACTTGGAAGAGCACTTTTTGATCAATACTCTAAAAATTTCATATTATATCATCAACAAAAAGCTTAAATCAAATTTTATATTAATCAGGGATTCCGAAATTCATGATCATCACACTAGACAATATAACTTGTTTCATCTTGAAGCTGCAAATTCTAAACTTGGACAAAAAAGTTTACACATGAGGCGACTTCGAAATTCAATAAATTACTAGATGATATCAAAAACAGCCCAAATATTATGCGATTCAAAAATAAAGTGAAGAAATATATTTATATGCAAAGGAATGATCAAAGCTGAAAGACTATGAATTTTCTTTTTTTTTCACTGTTTTTATTTTTCCCCTTCTTGTTCACTATAATATGACTGTTATTTTGAGATATCTTAATGATATGTAAATTTTGTTCACTATTTATGATTTCAATTATCCAACAGTCGATAATACTTCATGAATGATCTTATACCAGGAATTACTGTCTGATCATTCATGTCATTCCTACTTGAAAATTAATTATACTTTATATATTATTTGTATGAAATGTATGAATGAAGAAGATAATGTAATGCAATAACTGAAATAAATAAAAATAAATAAATAAATAAATAAATAAATAAATATAGGAAAGTGTAAGCTCGTCGTGGCATACCCTGTATATTCTATCTATCTAATCTATAGATAGATATAAATTGTCTGTAGCATACCTTGGCCTTCTTTCGGCAGTCTAGGACATCTCCATACGATAGCTCTATGCTGATGCTCATATTTTGCTTGACCAGAAGTTACCTCTATTAGATTTTCTTGAAGGGTTTCCATTGTTCCCAATATCCTTTCGATACCCTTTATTTTTCCTGTCCTGTATCAAAAAGACGTATTACTGGCTATTTTTCATTCACCCTATACTATTCGACCATCAATTCATCTCCACGCTATGATTGATGATATCTAGTATTTGTACCAATTAAATGTCAGTAGATAGTAAATCAAAAGTTGTAACCGATTATGAATAGTTGCGATACGAAAAATCCTAAAGTTAAAAATTTCCGCTAGACGTTTGTGATGCATTGATGAAAGCAGCCCTTCAGGGAGAATCTAAAAATGCAATGAAATACAGGGTGTCACGTTTTCAATATACGCAATAAAATATAGGGTTTTCTCTTTGAAGAAATAGAAAGTGTCTACACTCTGTGTATCAATATATCAAAAGATAACAACATCTGATTCACGTTTTTGACAGAAAAAAGTACAACACTTGGTATGTGGCGCCACCTTCGATACTAGAGAAAAATCTGAATGAATATGGAGTGATTGCCCTATTTTGCCCAATTTCCTCTCGATTCAATGAAATCAGTCTATGAGTAAATAGTTATTTATTATACAAGGGAAAAAATTAGTAGATTTTAGCTCGAGGTTGTGTTGAAGCCTAGAATCCGATATTTTTCCCGTGTATAATACACCAATTTTTTGTGTGACTGGAAAATTTTTGGAGTTGGTGTTATTTGCTATTCGAAACTACCACAACAAAAACCATCTACAGTGGATATTTTTTATACATATATCCGGGAAAAAATTACTCACTTTTCTCTACGGGAAAAAAGTAATTTATGAGAAGTGACATTTAACAACCTGTCAACAGATATTAAATATTTTTTTCTCCCTTCACAGAAAAAAGAAGTTACTATTCGACCACAAAATTCCGCTTTTCTATTAGTAATATTCGGTTCATACCTTCTATGGGCCGATTTAACAGATCCATATCTGAAATGTTTCTCCACTCTGAAAAGGTAAATCCAGCACTCTGGTATAGGAAAACGAATCATGACGTCTTCACAAGGAATTTGTCCTAGTTTTCTGGAAGCAAACCCAGGCACTAAGACATCTGCCCTGAGTTCTACCTGGAAATAAATAGTATATTATTAAAATCACTGTCAGTTTTTGAGATTGAACAAAATTAATATATAAATCATGGTGTAAAAACTTACTTTGTACCCTGTAACACATATTTGAGCTTTTAGTTGCAGAGGGAGTTCTCTATTCTTTGGTGGCCTCACTCGGAATCTCATCAATTCAATATAGCAAGCATCTGGGGGCTTAAATCTGCAAAAATTATTCTGTTCACGAGGTGCAATTAACGAAACACCAACATATGAGTTCCATTATTTCTTCATAATCATTTTTTGATCTACAGGGTTATCCAAATAGAGTCTGACTTTGTTTCCATTCATTGAAACTAATTATTTTGATCATTGAAACCCTATTCATGTTCCACTGTGTGGGTTCACTAAGTAACTGTTTTATTCGATTCAATAATGAGATTCATTCTATTAATGTTTTCTCGAATGAAAAGATGGTTGATCGTTTAGTTAACATAGTAGATCAATTCCTTAGGAAGTTCGCGTCCCTTTCCGATATACCCCAACTTGAAAGTGCCAAGCATCATTCGTCTGGACTGCAATAAAAAATAGAACCCTGGTTTTGCTTGTAATATCTCAGGACTTCAGATCCCTAATGTTTAATAATTTGATAGTTATTGCTGCAGCAAGGGCGGAATATAGTCTTCATGAACCGTTGCGTTTGAAGCTATTGACACTCCGCCTAGGCATAGAAGCTAATTACGTACGAAATACATACAACATTTTATTCACGACCGGTACATTTGATTCCCATGAGATACGGAATTTTGAAGTTGGAAGCATCAATTGTTTTTATTTCTAACCCTCCTGTATAAGCGTCCATGGTTGCGAAGTTCAGTATGGTTAGAGACTGAGAAAGACAAATAATTTCAAAATTATATAATAATTGGGGTTATTGGGTAATCTCAATGGAAGTCTTGAAAACACCTACATTACATTTGGAGTCAAATCGAATTTTTATTGTTTCCTCAGAAACTCAGCTAGCAAAAATCACACAGAGGATGAAGAAGTTTTCATTTCAATAGTTCAATCTAATCAAAATATGAAACTCAGAAAAACCGGTAAACCGACATTTATAAAAGATATCGATAGATTCACCCACTGTGACGCCACTGGAACTATCATTTCGAATCGAATTATACCAGAAGAAGTTCCATATTACTATCAACAGAATCACAACGATCAATTGGAATTGATGAAAAGACAATTGAGTAATGAATGAAAAAACAATTTTTCTTGGAAATATTGATACCCTGTATCTCGAAAACGAAGCAAGTTAGGACATATGTTCATGTGAACTTCATGTCCTGGAGTATCATATGGAATCACCTCTTGAATTTTTCCGGTGTTATTTAGATACACCCTTATATTATCATGGTTGCAGTGTGAAATAGCATTGATAGTATCAACGTCACCATGGTAAGTCATCAGTAACTGTTTTGAAATAGGAGTCGACGATTATATTTTTTGTCAAATGATGTCATCACAGATGATTTATTTTGGATTCGATCACATCATTTTGTAGCTCAGATATATCAAGAGAACTGTGATATTGGATAATGAACCATCACAACTAGAAAATGAATGCCCTGAATTATACAGGAATCCTTATTACGAGTTACCTATACGCCGGGCGATAAAGTAGTCCGCGGGTGATATTGTTTCACTTTACGCCCGCAAAAAGAAAGAAAGACATAGTTCGCGAGCGAGAGAATCGACAATTCGACGCGCTCCACGACTCACAACCATTCCGCCCGCCACAAGAAACAGTTGAACGACGCCTCACACCGCATCCGCAAATATAGTCGTCGCATTGGCCATGACGACCAAGAACAAGAAACCATTTGTACCGCACCGTGCCGAAAAATCGCTCATGGAGAAGAGAAGGAGAGCCAGGATCAACCAGAGCTTAGCCGCCTTGAAAACTCTCATCCTCGACTCGGCCAAAGCGGACAACACCAAGCACTCTGAGCTAGAAAAAGCCGACATTCTCGAGCTGACAATTCGTCAATGCCCCCGTAGTCTGGTCGCACAAGGCGTCAACCAGGACAAATCCGGCTACTCGGACTGCGTCAAGGAAGTGCAGAGGTACCTTGAAACCCCTGACACGCAAACCATAATAACCCTAGACGCTGGGATAGGTCATTGCTTGCTGCGCCACCTGGATAACTGCGTAGCAGAAGTGGAAGTCGATGCACGACAAGCCACGGCCTTAATAGACAGGCTCCAACCTCTTCAGCCAGGCTCTCACCCTTGGAAGCCCACGAAGTGAACAACAACTCGCCTGCCGAGGAACCATAAGTATCTCCAAGACCACCTCGAAGTCTGCTTACGACAGGAACTACGTGTTATTGCTGCCAGAGCATCACGTGCTGCTGGCTAGTATGCTTGGGATAAACCTGCGCAAAATGAGCCGGATTCGATAGCTAGCACTTCTAGCTGTTCCAGTACTGATGTAGAGGGAAAGAAGATAGAAGCGCCTTTGGATTTCAGCGGTAAGAGGGGGGCGAGATTGTCGATAGTATGTGGAGGCCTTGGTGAGCGACCAAGCACTTCAAGTTAGAAGAAGCCGACATCCTCGAGCTGAAAGTTCGCGCCATTTTTAACGCCTTTGCAGCCTGGATACTTAAGGCGTCATCCAGTACAAGTCAGGACATTTGGAATGCGTCAAGGAAGTCTAAGCTACTATAAGTCCGGTCGATTTCATTTTTCACGAAAGAATCATCTGATTATAATGAAAAATTGATTTTCGGTTGATTGTTCTTAGCAGTTTCTCTCCATTTCTCTTCCCATGGTTAGCATAATATGGTAATATTTTGACGTTTGTTGAATATTGCTTCCATCATTCGATTTAGTGAATATCATTGCTGCTTTCTTTGTGCAGTCTTTAGTCCAATATCAGTAATGGAAATGCATACGCATTTACCCAAGAACATTATAAAAAAGGCAGACAAGACTTCGAATAATTTATTCCCGGAGAAATTCAGACTCTTATACGACAAGGATCAAGAAGTATGTGATCAATGGAAGAAGAATTCCAAGAATTGGTAATACTTAGTTTGTTATTTGTTCAGTTGTCGCTTGTGACTATATTATCTTCCGAAATAAATGATTTCGTTCTAGCTCTTGCTTCATTTCTCCTCGTATAATGAGCGGGCATTATGATCCATAACGCCCGTTTATAACGCCCTGGGGCACCATGGATGAATTCATAGCAACCATGTCTAGGGTTGAATAAACAAATAATGTACAAGTGAAAAATAAAAGTGATTTTTCCTGCAATCCGCTCCAAAGTCATCTATTTTTGTTCCAAAATCAGCTCTTGAAGATGGCGTTCCTCTTAGCGACACAATTAAATGATAAGAATGTTGCGAGGTATGTTGCTAGGCAATAATTTCAATGTCTAGGAGCTAAATTTGAAGTTTAACTCCTAGGAAATAAGAACATTTCGGATGACAGCTGATTTGATAGCTGCTTTGACATTGACAAGCTCAAGTGACTCGAAATAGTGGTAACTTCACTTATAATTCATCAATTAGATAGATATCAATCATTTCGATTGAGAAAAAATTGTATGTTTCATTCGGATCAAAAGTGACTCGCAAAATTTGCGAGACCAGCTTCGCGTTCGCTCCGCCTCGGAAACGCAAAATTCGCTTGTCAAACAAAGTGTCACATTTGATTCTGATGAAACAATGTACTATTCTTGCTATCCATATTCACTTTATAATATGCGTTTCGTTGTAATCCTCCTGCTGAATGCAGGAGTGGAACTCGACGTCCTCCAACCTAATCCATTCTTCAGTTACCACAGGAATGATATCGTGTCTGCCCACCACCTCTTTGCCTTGTCTTCTCATATCGTTGATGCCTAGTTCGACGTCTGGCATGCCGGTCAAGAAGCCTAGGAAGAATAACCTCACCCTGGCGATTTGCTTCTCGATATGACCTGCAACGATTACAAAAATGTAAAAGCAATATTGATGAGTAGGCTAGTACAGGGTGCGCCTCTTAAAACGGAATCCCACCTTAACTCTTTTGTGTTCAGAGATTCAAAAAAATTTTGAATCAAATAGTTGTTTGAAACGTCCCAAACTTTCATTTCGTGAAGTTGCTTCCTATACAGGATCATTCGTTTTTCCGGAAAAAACATTAACTTAAATTTCTTCAATAGAATACCCTATATATTTTTTGACAGGTCGATAGAGCCTTTTTTCTGATTCCAAAAATATATATGAGTTGCATATTTGAATGACAAATAATTGAGCTATTGATTATCAAATTATACCAAAATACGGAATCTTCCATTGAAACTGTCTTTTCGTATTGAAAAATACCGAATCGTCCATTGAAACTGTCTATTCTTTTTTTTTTCGTATTGAGATTGAACGATTTCAATTTCATAATAAATAATACTGTTATATGTTATTCGGGTGCAGAAGCGAACACGACACTATTCATTTCCGAACTGATTTATTTCAACTTAAGGAACACTGATTTATATCGAACTTATAACTACTATTTATGTAAAACGATTTATATCACGCGGTATATGACTGTCTCTCTGACACTCGCTGTTCGACTGACTGACTGCAGTTGTTCGGTCGTTTATATATGAGATCACTTGGCAGGCTTTGGTTCGAGAACGTTCTCGAATGATCTTCCGTCTCCTTCTTTTTGTTCTACAAAGAAACTTCTTAGAACAAAACCTCTCTCTCTAATAATTGTTCCATCGATTGTTTCCAGAACATTCCAGAATCTTCTGTGACGTTATTTGTCACTGCGGTATATATTTAGTGTTCGGAAATATGCTGGTGCATGTAGGAATCATTGGGAGGTTGGAGAACGATCTGGGATGCGTGTTACAGGATGATTGTTGTACTCCTGCCTTCCTGCGGATGTTTCTAGTTATTCAGAAGCCCACTATATTCAACTTACATTATTAGTATTAGATGATATGAATTGAAGGTTCATAATGCGGATTTAGGTAGATTTTGATCATCAATTACTCAATTATTTTTCACACAAAAAATGTGCAACTCATATATATTTTTGGAATCATAAAAATGGGCTCTATCGACATGTCGTGAATTATAAGGGGTGTTTCGAAGAAAAAAATCAAATTTGATGTCCTTTTTGGAGAAACGAATGACCCTGTATATTAAACAACTTCACGAAATGAAAGTTTGGGTCGTTTAACACAACTTCTTGATTCAACATTCTTTCATATCTCTGAAAACGAAAGATTTAAGGAAGGGATATCATTTTAAGAGGCGCACCCTGTACGTGTGTATATCGAATAGGGGTATTTGAATGCAAAAGGTGGGGTAGTAGCGATTTTTCCGTATGCTGTTAGGCCCTAATGATGAATCCGAGTTTTCGACCGCGAGGTGCATGCGCTCGAACCGCCATCTTGGATTTCATGTACAAGCATTTGTTTTTTTGATAATAACTCAAAAACTGTGACTTTCATGACAAAATATGTTCAACACAAAGTTAAAGAGGACGAAATGTTCTACATTTATGTAAACAATTTTTGTAGGGCATATGTTAGGAGTTACAGCTCCGTGAAATTAAACTATTCGAAAAAAATATATAAAATTTCGTTATTTGGCTGTTAATAGCTGAAATAAATGATTTAAACAAATGCAAATCATATCGAGATAATTTTCGAAGAGACTCTACTTTGATTTTATATCAATAGGTTGACCTAAACCATAACAAAGATAGACAGTTAGCGAGAGCACAGCTGTTGCCTAGGAGGTATTGATAGGGAGTCATAAATGAATCGCTTAGGAGAAGAAGGGAATAATCACCATTTTGTGCCAAACTAAACTAGCATAGCCATTTCGTTCTTCGCAAACGAGAGATGAATGGCACCGAGGTAACATTATTATGGTGTGGATAATGGGACCTCTGAGAATCAGGGTGCCATCTCAGAGAAAAAACCCTCAGCCCTATTCAGGGGGCACCACAGGACTGGGCCATCTCCTTTCCTCATCACTCGTAGGAGAATACAAACTTTTGGCCCTCTTCATGACTCGCAAGAGTATTGTCACGAGTAGAACATACGGTATATTAGTAATTTCGAACCATGAGGGTTCTATAAAGATAAAATTGATCAAATCATCCGTTGACATTGAATTATAAAAACTGACCAAGGAACTCTCATGAGAAACGTGCATATCTAATAAAATGATGTATATAAATATTGGATGTGAGGGTTCCGAAGTTAGTCTGGTCTGGGGCTACTCTTGACTTGACGAGAGTTCGTCGTGATGGTGATAATTATCATGTAAGTTGTTATTCGGTCTTTATATTCATTGCTGTTTATTCATACTTGTCATCGCTACCCATGATGTTTCATGCTATAGTTAATATTGTTATGTTTGAATATAGTCTCGTACTTTCAGCTACACCTAAACTATTAGTGCCTATTTGAATATTACCTCTCGCAAACTATTACGCCAAGCATCACCCCTTATACATCGAAATGGCTGGACTAAACATCTATTTTATCGTAACATGGTGGAAGCAACTCTATTTTATCGTGATATGTAACCCTTATAATATTGTGACAGAATTCCTCAGAAACCCGTAAGAAAAAAGAATTTCAAACGAACTTCTGATACGACTGTGAACTGCAGTTATAACAGCATATTCGAGGTGAGATACAATGGATCAACTTCGGTCAGACGAGCCTTGAGAGGTGGTGGAGTTAGTTGGTACACTAACATATAATATAGGAACTCCACACTATCTTGAATAGATTCATCCTACGTAGTTTTCATGAAGGATTTCGACCCCTTTCAATTCATACATAAATTCATCATAAAGTGCTGTTTATAGTTCCTTATGACATTGTTTGTATTCGAAGACACCATTTCATCAATATGTGGTTTAAGAACATGGCATGTCGAAGTGGAGTGGTTTGTTCAGAATGAGATGAGGAGATGATTCAGATGGCTTTTACCTCTTCCAAAATGAAATATCAAACTCATGATTGAATTGTTCATGGAAAAAGATTTACTAACTTTCCAAGACGGAATAATTAAGTTCGTGAACTCAGGATACCACACATAGGTATAAATATGTGATATTGAACAAAAAAAACTACTAACGACTACTGTACTAATTATTATTTCGAATGTCACAATATGATTACCTTCAGCATCTTGTTCTACATGCAACTCGTCCACAGCAGTAATTTGAACCTCCTCCATTTTGTAGTGTAATGCTCGATCCCTGTGTGCTTGCAGAACGAATAAAGCTTCTTCAATAGAAAATGAAAACTGCTTCAAGTCTTCGTAGTTGAGAGAGCCAAGTTTCATGAGTTGCGAAACTTGTGGAGCATGTTCTACAGGAAGACCGAGTTTCTTCAAATCACTACCGAATTCTTTAACCCCTGAAAAAAAGTGTGAGTATATCAATAATCACATCCTGCCAATTCAATATGAATTCATGTTCAAAAGAGAAAAGTGGTGAATATGAGTAACATCCCAATTCAATTGATGAGTTATTAAGGCCCGAATAAATTACACAGTCTGTTGTGGTATATTCTTACGATGTTAACTCACCTTGATAATCACCCTGTATGGCATAAGCAGCGAATTGGCTCAATTTATTGGTGATCCTCTCTGCTTTCTTCACTTGACCTGGTCTAACTCCAGGTCTCTCCTTGTAGAAGATGTATTGCAGCTTCAGCGTGAAAATCTTTCCAAAATTGTCATATTGCTGAGCACCAATTTCGGACACGGAGTAGCAAGGTTGCAAAGGTAACTCCTGGAACGGGTCCTTGTCGTCCCGTTGGTTGAACAGCTGAAGAAGAACGCAGTCCGGCTGGTACTGCAATCGGACGATGATCTTCTTCCAGAAACGTTGACCAGTTATTTTCTTTTTATTTGGCTGACGGAGTTGCATTTCCCAACCGTCCCCTGTATATTTCGTTCGCGGGAATGGTTCGAGAGGTTGAGAAACGTCCTCGTCATACAAAGGAGTTGGAGGAGTTTCTTGAGAATCACTGCGCTCGAGATTACCAGCTGAAAAGAAATTGCAGGTTGGTGGAATAATCTCATTATTGTGCATTAAATGTGATTTTACTTCTTGAACTCACCATAAGGGATGTCATTCAGAACAGCAATGGGTTCGTCTTCAGCTTGGTTATCGAACGGATTGAATCTAGGAGAAGTATCGACGAAAGCAGATGACACAGTTGGAGGGGGAGGGGCTATTGTAGGTAGCAGCCCACTATCAACTTCTTCACTTCCTTTTGGTCTGAAAATAAATACGAGAATTCAAAATTATTGCCATCATTGAAAGTTGTAATTATTCAGTATGTTCATTCGTCGTAACGTACCTTATGAACACTGAGAAGTCCTTATCCTCATCTGAGTCCTGTGAACCAGCCCTACTTATCCTGAGGGGAGTACTCTGTGGCACAGCAGGTGGTTGTTGAAGAGCCAGAAAGGAATCAAAACCATCATCCTGACCGAAACCACTCGAACCATCAGCCGTGGTATTCGAGAAATCATTACCCCAAGCACTTTCAACTTGTGAAGCGCCAAATTTTTCCTCGGTTTTCACAGAATCGAATTTCTTCGCGAAGTCATCAAAGTCGTCAGGTACAGAACTAAATGCTTCCTCGTTGCTTGATAGTATATCTCCGAAAGCATTAACAGTATTTGGTACGGATGTATTGTCATTAACTCGAAAATCATTAAAGCTGTCGGTCTGACTATGGAAAGTATTTGTTTCATTTGGAGTAGTGAAATCGTTATTTTGGTTCACAAAATTATCGCTACTCGAAATTCCAAATATATTCGACGTAGAATCTTTCTCTTCGATCACATTTCGTCCTGCGTCCTCAAAAATATCGATCTGTTCTGATTCTGAATTCTGATTGATCTCCCGAAAATTATCTACGATCATAGCTGGTTGAGTTATACTAGCATCGGTAATTTCTTCTGATGGAGCAAATGGATTAAGAGTTACACTAGAAATCGACCCTTTACTTTGAGTATCACTCAAATCCATCTGTAAGTCTTCTTGTGACGGTCCCGAAGACATCAAATTATCAACGCCCAATTCATTCGTTTGACCTACTGGAGAAAATAGTTTTTCCTCTTTGATCGTTAAGTCCTCAGAGATATTAGTTGATATAATTTGTGGTTCCTCCATATGTTCAGGCTCCATCAGGTCACAAAGAAGATCAGTCTTAGGCAATTCTTGTTTGGGCGCATTGAATAAGTTCATTATATCAGCATTTGTGACCTCCTTCTTTCTAGGTGTTGCTTCTACCCCAAACATATCCATATCTTCAATATCATCCTTCTTGGCTGCAACAGGTGCCTCGATAGGATTCTTTGGTTTTTGGTTGAATATTGCTGCAGGCAACGGTGGCTTGGGTGGTCTGATTGGAGGTGCAGGTCTTGGTGGTTTTACCTGGGATAGTAGTTCCTGTGTGACAGCTGGATTCTGATTTATATCACACTTCTTCTCATCATCTATTCCAAACAGATCAGTGCTGGAGACGTGCTCTGATGGTTTATCGCTAACATCTAGAAGATCTCCGAAATTGTGTTCAGGAGTAGGGCTCGGAGAATGAAGATCTCTCATGGAAACTGGACTGGGACTCCTGGTAGGTGGTATTTTGTTCAACAATGAGGAGCTTGTGGCATCCATAGCTCCCATCACGGACATCAACAAGTCCTGGGTTTCTTTGGATGGAGGTAGTCTTGGAGGTGGAGGACGTGATGGACCATTTGCAGGTTGGTGAGAAAACTTTAACTCCAAGTCTGAAGGCTTCTGTACGGAAACTGTATCTGTTTTGGATGACTCTGTGCCTATCATTGGCTGAATACTGATATGCTCGGTAACGGTGAATGGTGCATCCATACTTCCACCGATATCACCGAATGGATCGTTGAGAACTGGTCCAGGAAGTATTCTTGGGACTTCTGCTTCTGCTGGTTCAAGCTCCATAGGATCGAAACTGAAGGGATTAGTCGATATAGTAGCAGCAGTTTGCGACAAAAAGGGGTTATCGTTGAATCCAACACCTCCATGCATGTCTTCTTCATCGTTCATCAAAAATGGATTCGATCCAGTTGATCCAGGAGAAGTAAATGGTTCCTCGTTGAAGAGAAATGGATTTGCCGCCATCTTAGATGAATTCAGACTCAATCACTTTTAGTTCAGCTCTGCCTGGTAGAATGTTATTGGCACAGCTCGTGTCAAAAGGATCGAAATCGTCGTTTATGACCGGTGAGAAATCGAGACTTACTGAAGGAGAAAGTGGTTTCGCTATCACTCTATGATCTTCTTGAAGCAACAAGTCGTCGACTTTCCGATCAGAGTTTTTTTGTTCTGGAGGGGAAGCAATCAGTTGGCTTTCTAGAAGTTTGAGCTCTGTTTTTCCTGGCTGTATATTCTTCGCTATCGAAGTGTCGAATGGGTCAGAATAACTCAACTCTGTTACACTACTGTTCGCGTCACCAGGTGTCAATACTTTGGCTTGTATGTCATTATCGATAGCAAGTAAATCTATTGATTGGGAAGCTTCAACTTTAGGGTTGACTATATCTTGTATGACTCTGTCGATTCTGGCCCTAGTTTCGTCCCTTGGATTGAAGTGTTTGTCGTGTAGTGCCAAGTTCCTTTCGACGTTGGGGTCGAACAACTCACTCTCGATAATTTTAAGTTCAGCTTTGCCTGGCGCTAAGTTCGTTGCGAAAGAAGTGTCGAAAGGATCTGATTCCGGCAATTCCGCTATGGAAGTTTTTCTTGTGTAAAAGGGAGTCAATGGCTTTATGACTTTGTTAGAATCATTGAACGCATTTTCCTCAGTTGAGGGTAGATCGAAAGATACAGTTTTTGAGCTCGAAAAGTTCAGAACGTCTGGTCGTGATAAGGTACGTTCTTTGGAGAACTCTGATGCCCTTGGATCAAAATCATCATCACTCAGTGATTCCACATTATTTCCATTATCAAACGGATCGGAGTAGGGTTCTGTCTGTATCTGGGGTGGTTGTATTGAGCTTACGGATAAGTCGACGTTGCTTCCTCCAAGAAGGTCTCTGTCGCAGGGTTTTATTGTATTCAACTCGTTTCCTGAAATTATATGTTTTAGTCATAAAATGGAATCTCATGATTATTACTGGTGCATACCTGCAACGCGGTCGTCAGAAAATAGCGAGTTCTCTTCAAATACTGCAGAGTTATTTCCATTCGCTAATATTGCTACATCAGTGTAAGTTTCTTTGTTGGGAATCAAGTCCGGTATAACTTTATCGGCGAATGCTGTATCGAATGGATCGACTTCTGGGACTTCTTCGTCTTCTACTGCTGTTTTTTCGAACCTATAAGAATATGTTGGAATGAAAACATATACCTACTCTGTACAATAAAATATATTCATTCCTGAAAATACAGGTAGTGATTTGCTGATATTCCTAAACAATAAAATTATATAACGAGACACTTTTTGGGAGCAAAAACACTATAGATAATTATTGCTCTATGGAAACTAGTTATCCTCGACTATACTGGGAGTCCCAAAAATCTACCGACAAACTACAAGCGGTAGGTAGTATGATAACTATTATTACAACAAGAATATTCACTTGAAGAAAAAGTTTTGTCCAACTGATTGGAGAATTAATTTAGTTCTGCGAATATGATTTGAATATTGTTTTGTTATGATGTCCTTCAATACCCCATGAAGTTTGTTGGTGAGTATTCTTTATCCACAGATGCCTTGCTGATCTTATATTTGAACTATTAGAAGTGATTTGCTGAATATCCATTCTGCTAGCAATATGAAAATTAGTTTTTTATTCACCAGAGAGTACTGTGATCAATTATTGATTTTTTTTCACTTCTATATTGCAATACTATTGCATAGCAGACACTAACGAATCCATAAAAGATGTCTACCTAGAGAATTTTAAATCTGGAGCTAGATATAATTGCGTTGCAAAAGATCTTACTCAGCATCAAACGCGCCCCACTCAACTTCTCCAGCAAAGTTAGCTCCTGTGTTGATTGGTAAGCTCTGCTCAGGAGCTACAGCAGCTTTAGACAGACTTTCCGCAGCTAGAGCTTCGAATTCGAGGTCGTCTTCGTCTTCTACGGGAGCAGTGACATCAAATTCTTTGAGTATATCGCTATGGTCAGCAGCTGTATTCGCGGTGTTGTCGGATGTGGTAACGATCGGAAGTGCTTGTGGGTATGGAATGGGGTTGCTCAAGTCGATTGGCGCTTCCGGTAATGGGATAGGATCTTCGTCGAGAAGGGTTTTCGGAATTGGTTCGGCTACTGCTGAAAATTCATACAGATATCACCCTCACTTTCCTCCGGGTAATACGAAATGTCCCAAATTGTCATAATTCAACTGGATCTTATAATTACATCAAAGTTGATAGTAGTCCAAAGAACTGAAGAAGCACATTTTTATAGATAGCCAAACTAGAGAGAAGCGGAAAATAAAACTATGAGAGTGTGTTTATAAATACACAACATAGAAAATATTTGCATCTCCGTGATCAGTATAATTCTATGTTGTGTATTTGTTAACAGACTTTTATTATTTTATTTTCTACTTCTTTCTAATTTGACTTTCTATAGAGGTGAGTTTCTTTAGTTATTAAACTACTATTTTATTTCCTGTTTTTTTATTCGTCTAACAACAAGAGCGTGTTTTTCAGTTTCTTCACATTTTTTATAACAACCTACCTACCTAATTTTGACTCCGAAAACCACCAGATATCAATTTTGAATAGAAACCGATAGAAACGGATCATAGTTACAAAACTTTTTCGCCGTTTCTTGAATTTTCAAATTTTAATGAAAGAATCATAATAAATAATTATAAGTTGTAATTTCCATGTATCTTTTATTCAATGTGTACTTCAAGTGCAATGTTGCAATAACCTTGCTGGAATGAGGGTTTGAGAACATCACATCCATTATATTACTGATTGTTTAATTCATTTGTTGCTGCGACTTTGCAGTAAAATTGCGTCGATTGCTGAACTCGTAATGCATTTTTGTAAAAAAGCCTATCAAGAAAAGCATTTGTAACACCCATCATATTATCATTCATTGAAATCATTTCACGCCCTAGGGACAAGACAAATCTGGGCCTCTTCCTCGAGAAATGGTGTGGGGTACTGCTTTTTATTTAGATGATTCTCCAGATCAAATATAATTATTCTCAAAGCACATTTTTGGGTAGATTGAGAAATAAGAGGCAAAATTAAAAAAACTTCCGTTGGGATAGGATGATCATACCGATCACAAGTAACTGAAAATAAATATAAAACCTACAAGTATGTGAATATAGAATTTTCCTTGGATTCGACAAATTCGTCTATCGAAAATATTAGAAAAAAATTTCAACGGTTTTCACGTTTGAAGATGTAAACTTCAAGCCTTCAATGAAAACTATTGAAAGTTCATAGATTTCTGTTGGACCTGCCATATTCAGTATCAGAAATTCAGCAAACTGAAAAGTGTCATCTTTGAATTGAATGATGTCGATATCTCTGCTATATTTAGTAATCAATTCCTCACTCCGTGAATCAATTTCATTCTCGTAAAATATATTCGGGTCAAAGAAAATACGGAAATTATCGACAATGTTTTTATATACCCCACTTCTATTTCCTATAGTTCTATAATGTGTCCATCACAATTATAATGCCTGTCTTCGACAAGATCATGAAAACATGATACTATGCATCTGCATGCAACTAACGAGACACGTATAAGTGTTATTGATTGTAGATGTGGCCAGGTTAGGTTAGGATACATGAATGGCTTGCTTACTAACCTTCCTGAATGAGAATCTGATATCTGACGTGAAAGATAAAAACTCTTCGATTTGTTGAGGTATCAAAGTTTTCAATTTATCAGGTTTCTATCCATATTCTGATTGCATAATTTCGATCACATGAATATTGTGTTCTACGTTTATTGTCATTTAGCATACTAAAGAGTGGATTGTTCACAAAGATGAGAGCTCCATTTTTACACAGAGTTCTCATAAATATGCAATTACCTAAAACATTCTCTTCGATTTCACATACACTTTCAATGAAAAAATTGTTTGAATAAATCTGATTGCAACAAAATTCCAAAATGACAGTCAAACAACTGAAGGTGTGTTCGAAAAACTCTGTTGCCATGGTTATGTGTTCAAGAAATTGTGTTGCCATGGTAACATGCTCAATTTTTTTAATAAATCACAGATCATCAATCCGTGATCAATTGATCATTCAGTACCACGCGTAATATCCGTATACGCTAAATGCCATTTTAATTATGTTAGTAGAAGAATAATATTATGAATATTAACAATGGAAGCGTTTTTGATGGTTACATCTCTTTGATGAGCTGTCTTTTGTTCTTCGGGGCCCTTAGCGTGCGCTCATATTGCGCCTATATTTGGTGATCCGCCACACTGGTATATGTTCAACTCACCACTAGCAGTTCCAATCACCAAATCGGCACCTTCATCGAAGCTCCCAAGCAATAAATCCCTCTCCTTGAGCACCTGCCTCCTGCTCGTGGGTCTTTTGGTAGCGCAGGTCGGTAACTCGACCCTGCCAGTTAGGACCTCGACAGCCGCTCCAAGCGGAACAAGCTTCTTTCCCTTCCGCAGAACCTCTGGTCCTAGGATAGCTCTTTCAGCTATAGAAGTGTCAAACGGATCGTCCCCTTCCAATGGATTCTCTGTCGGAGAGTCTGGAATGTAAGCTAGCTTGACGGCAGCTTGCTCTAAAGCTTCCAAGTAGGTGGTGTCGAAGAGGTTATCGTCTTCTTCCTCATCCGATTCGGATTCTGAAACTTCGACGATGCCTAGGTCGGCTAAAGTTGGTTCCTTAGTGACACTCGCCGAAGCTAGCTCCTCGGATTTCTTCTCCTCTACTATCCTCTCTTCTTCTTTCTTTCTGACCTCGCTCTCGGTCGGTTTTCTCTGGAAGAAGGAGGTGCTTTTGATGCGGTCTAGGTCTCCTTGAGTTTTTTTTAGGATGTCGTCGACTTCGGAGGTTAATGCCAAGAATTTCTTCCATTCTTCATTTTGAGCTGGTTGTTCTTCTGAGGTGTTTTGGTGTTCTCGTCTGTAGTTCTCGAGTTCTTCGGGTTTGAAGAGGTCCTCTTCCTTATGTTTGGATTTTTTGCCTTTTTTCTTCTTCTTCAGACCCTTGGTTATCTTGTGCATTATCTATTGCTGCTCGCATCGAGACACCTAGATACCGGGAGAAACATTTAAATTCACAAATTCGAAGAGGACAAATGCGTTCAAAAATTTGCACACGAAATATGTTCGATCCAGTGGAATGTATAATTTCAGCTGTAAAATCCTGAGCACAAAATATAAATATATAACCCAAGTCAACTAGCTAAATGTCTCCTGTTTGGTACAGGGTGTTTTATTATTCATTATAATCAAAAAATCTGAAATTATGTTATGTTTTTTTTATTGTTAATATGAATTGAGGTTTCATTACCGTAATAGAGCAATCGAATGATCCATAGAACATCGACCTGATTAATACACATCAAGATCAAAATAATTCTGCAGCTTCATGTTTAACTTGAGTTTCGAAAAATAATGACTATCGTCATGAAGGAAGAGTTCGATGTTCACGTAAAAAGTATGAGAGAATGTCTGATGAAATGATAATTCCGCCAGTGGCGTAGAGTTTGGGGAGAATCAACCAGTCACTTGCCCCTGTCGTACGCCTCTGGTAGTAGCCAGAAACGTTTATTTCACCTAATTCCGTATAGGGTGTATAGTATCTACACTGCCCTCGAAATATGACAATGATATGTTAATAAATTTCAAAGTACTGAGCACAAGTATTTTTTGATTCAAATAAAACGCACTGTACCTCAGTCAGAGGACACATCCAATCTCGGTGATTTGAGTAGAAAATTCATGATTCCAATAAGTAAAGAAACACCGTCGGCAGAATTTTCAAAATATTGTATATTGAAGAAATATCGAATTCTCGCTTAGCTTTTGACGTTTCGAGAACACATCTAATTCCGTATCCATCCTAAAAATTGGATTATCATTTTTGCAAATGATTTTTTGTGTTTTGCTTTTTGATACTTCTAATTGGCAAGTGATGAACCACAATGGTCTTACATGCCTTTGGGACATATATCATTTCGTTATCAGATGAAGGTCGAAATTTACAGCCGGATCTTGGACCAATATTGGGAAATGTCTGGGTTGAAGGGTTTTTTATTGATCTCGAATTTATCATCATTATACTCATATCTCATAGTATTGAATATAATTTTTTTCAATACTCATCGGAAAAATAACGCCAAGAAAATTAATTTGTCAAATTGATCGCCCTGTAACTTAAATCATGTCCGATTCTGTGGAAATATTGACCACATCGTAGATCAATGCTTCGGAAAGTAAGCCTGAATTTTGATTCTCAAGAACAGCTGATGACTTGATCATTATGGGTGTCCCAAATTTGAATAAAAAGATCCCAACCACAGATTTTGAGAACAGAAATAGTAAAAAAAATGCATATGAACATGAGCCCAGAAATGGACCCCTGGGTAGTAATAGCCATCGGAAAGAGGGCCCTTTGTGTTGAGATAACAGAATTTCAAACATGTATATTACTTCCTTTACCCAATCTGGAAATGATTGTTCCTATTTTATATCGATGATCTGTTGGAAGCAACCTCTTGCCGTATCCACAGGTTTGCAGACGATAGTAGTCTCCATACTGCGTTCTCTTCTAGAATTCCCATCTTTTCCCAGGAAAGATCCAACAACCTTGTTGAATTCAACACCACCAATACTCAAGCCTGTATTTTCTGTGGAAAGGTGGAGCTCAGTATGTCTGATATAACCATGTCTGGTACCAACATTCCCACCAAGACCACTATATCGATGATCGGTATTTCTATCAGCAATACTCTTTCATGGAAAAATAATGTCCGATCCAGCGCGGAAGCTGCTCCACAAAAACTCGGATATTTATTCCGTGCGGAAATCTACTCCACTCCCCAACAGCTTCTCATGTTCTAAGAAGCACATATACTGCCAGTTTCAGAATATTGTTCAGCATCCAAACATACGCTGATGCTCTTAGATTCCATCTAGAGAAGAGCCATCTACATGGTGGGTGATGTCACACTCACTAATACTTTGACTTCATTATAAAACCGTAACAAATTCGGCGACCTTTCACTTCCATATAGATACCTATGCTTCCACGGCCACGTGAAATTATCCTCAGAAAATCCTTCCATCACTAGCAATGCTACTCAGACGAACTCCTCAGGCCCAGATTCAGTACATCCTTTCGTTATCAACCTTGGAATATGTCGAACAACACTTCACCAAAACTCGTTCGTCTATAAAATGGCAAAGCTTTGGAATTCTTTGCCAATGAAAGTATTCTCAAGAACTTTCAACCTCCGAAAATTCTATAAAGATTTCAACACCTACCGCTTTGAAACACTCATGCAACTGGGAAAAGGCAACAAAATCACACTTATGTGGGTTCCAGGGCATGAAGGAATCAAAGGAAATGAGGCAGCAGATCGCCTTGCAAAAAAAGGTGCAGCATCTGGACTTTTTGGTTCTGAGCCTTTTTGTGGGATAAGCAAATGTCATCTAAAGGGAGAACTCGGGAAATGGGAAGAAATTGAAAAGTCCTCCTACTGGAGAGCAACTCCAGGTCAACGACAAGCGAAAAGGTTCATCAACCATTCGCAGAACCGAGCCAAAAAGAGCTACTCAGTCTCAGCAAACCAGAGCTAAAGCTTATCACAGGCTTTCTCACAGGACACGGCCCTCTGAGGTACCACCTCAAAAAGATGGGTCTGGCGGAGACTGACACTTGCCGCTTTTGTAACAATGCGACCGAAACCGCGGAACACATACTTTGCTCATGTGAAGTATTAGTCCGCCAAAGGCTGAACCACCTAGAACAGGTCTATCTCACCCCTGCTGAAGTGGAAAAGTCAACCGTCAGGAAAATCGTAGGCTTCATCAGAAGTCTAGGGTTAGAGGACCAAAACTAGATAGGGGTAATCACAATAGATCTTCTAGGTAGCAGTGATCGAGAGGTCTCTCAGCCTATACGACCCATCTACAATCTACAATCTACAACACCTACCTCCTCATCCTAAATGCTCCCTAGATACGCACGATGTTTTTCGTACATTATAGAAATTTTCTCTCGTGCGCTACAAGAGATCAAAAAAATTCCCGCGGTGGTTGAATGTTGTACAGCTATCGAGGAGGGCATTCTCGTTATTTCGTCTGTTTTATGTTTGCTTTTTTCTAGTAATCAAGGTTTTTCTTTGTTTCTTCGCCGGGCAGTGCTAAGAAAATGAAGTGGAAACAAACGATATCAATTTTTATATGGTTCTTCAAGTTGTTAATGGAAAAGTTAATGTGAGTTCTGCATAATTGTTCACGAAATTCTAAACAACTACATACTTTTTTAATACAATTGTATCTTCTTTGAAAAGAAGATATTGACGTGAATTGGAAACCATTATGATAAGAAAAGATCACACTTCAATCAATACGGCCTGTTCTAGAATACTGTTCCCACACATGGGGTTCAGCACCAAAACATACGCTGATGCTCTTAGATTTCATTCAGAGAAGAGCCATTCGCCTGGTGGGTGACGCCACACTCACTCACTCTTTGACATCATTGGAACACCGTAAAAAGGTCGGCAACCTTTCATTTTTCTATCGATACTTCCACGGGAAATGTTCTTCAGAAATCTCTGCAATCATTCCTTCACTAGCAATACCAATCAGACGAAATAGACAAGCCCAGTCAGCACATCGATCCTTTCGTTGTCAACCTCGAAAGATGTCGAACCGCACTTAATCAAGACTCCTTCATCCATAGAACGGCTAGGCTCTGGAATTCATTGCCTGTGGAAGTATTCCCAACAACATATAATCTCCAGAAGTTCAAAAAAAATTCCAATACCTACCTCCTGTCCCTATCCTCCCTAGGAACGCACGATGTTCTTTGAACATTATAGGGATTCCCTTTCGTGCGCTCCAAGCGATAAAACAAAAAAAATACAAAAAAAAACAAAAAAATAAAAAAAGAACATACTGAAGCTGTTTTATCACTCACATTTGCCACAAGGCGTTGAAAAGTTAAAAAATGGTGGAATAGTAAATTTGTTTTATCCTGCATAATGATCAAGTCATCAGCTCTTCATGGGAACTAGAATAAATAAATCTACTTTTTGGTCGAAATTTCATCAGAATGGGTCGATATTCCAAAATGATACAAGGCGATCAATTTGACTAATTTTTTGCTGGCTGGTTTTTCTGCCGGTGACTGTATATAATCAACTGAACAGGAAGCAATTTTATTGTCTCCGTTCAGAAGAATACAAGCCGATTCTTTGATTTTTCTTTTTTGATCGATATCTTCTTGATATTCAAATCAGAGAAATCAAATAAGGGCGTTCATTCGGCTTTTCTTGGTTTAGTGCTGTTGTCACGTCAGCAAAATGTTGCGAAACTTCGGTTAGTTTTGAAGAAAAGTCAAAATCAGAAAGTACTGAGATCATCAACAAGAACGATGACATATTGATTCATCTCAGAATATGTGTTAAAACTTGGCGAGCATGTTCATGTGATTATTCAGAATTCAATTCTCGAAAATGGCTCCTGAGGAGCCATCATTCTATACAATATCTTCATGCCACGAAGTTTAGTTCAATAACTGGAGAATACTATAAAGAGTTTGTATTCTTACCCTCAATAACTGCTAGATTTCACTCACTGAATCTATCGATTCTACATTTTGTACCGTTTTTTTGGGACGTACATCGGATATACAAGTCACCTATTGTCGAGGAGAGCGCGATAAACTATCAATACGTCTGCGTACTAGACGTCCCGACGCCTAGCGCCGGGAAAACTCGAGTCCTTATTGATTTTCCTGACAACAGATGCCTACAGTGAGTGCACTGCATACTGTCGGAAGGATAATTCGAGTTCCTTCTGGGAAATTTTTTATTCGATTCACTGTGCACAAGCAGGGCCGTAACCAGACTATTTTTAAGCGTGGCTACAAATTTCATAGAAAATTCCACACCACTGACTGTTATACAGTTAAATTGGATTATTATGACAAAAATTACCATAGCAACGTATGTATTTCAGTGGTAATTCTTTTCCCGTTGGTACCCACC